CCAAATCCATGAACCAAACACAGCCTTGGGGCTCAAGAAAAACCTGCAAAGCTGCCTATTGTGTTGAAATTTTGACCATGGGTTTTTTTGAAGGAGTATCTGGCCTCAATGAGGCAGTTCTTCTATATATTATCTCTTCTTCTTGTTCTTTGGTCTGTTCACGTCTTCTATATCCATTTTATGTCATTTTAAAGTTTGACATTGAATGGTTAACATATGCATTGATTCCCCCCCCTATTCTTTTCTAAATCCCTTCCCAAATCCATGAACCAAACACAGCCTTGGGGCTCAAGAAAAACCTGCAAAGCTGCCTATTGTGTTGAAATTTTGACCATGGGTTTTTTTGAAGGAGTATCTGGCCTCAATGAGGCAGTTCTTCTATATATTATCTCTTCTTCTTGTTCTTTGGTCTGTTCACGTCTTCTATATCCATTTTATGTCATTTTAAAGTTTGACATTGAATGGTTAACATATGCATTGATTCCCCCCCCTATTCTTTTCTAAATCCCTTCCCAAATCCATGAACCAAACACAGCCTTGGGGCTCAAGAAAAACCTGCAAAGCTGCCTATTGTGTTGAAATTTTGACCATGGGTTTTTTTGAAGGAGTATCTGGCCTCAATGAGGCAGTTCTTCTATATATTATCTCTTCTTCTTGTTCTTTGGTCTGTTCACGTCTTCTATATCCATTTTATGTCATTTTAAAGTTTGACATTGAATGGTTAACATATGCATTGATTCCCCCCCCTATTCTTTTCTAAATCCCTTCCCAAATCCATGAACCAAACACAGCCTTGGGGCTCAAGAAAAACCTGCAAAGCTGCCTATTGTGTTGAAATTTTGACCATGGGTTTTTTTGAAGGAGTATCTGGCCTCAATGAGGCAGTTCTTCTATATATTATCTCTTCTTCTTGTTCTTTGGTCTGTTCACGTCTTCTATATCCATTTTATGTCATTTTAAAGTTTGACATTGAATGGTTAACATATGCATTGATTCCCCCCCCTATTCTTTTCTAAATCCCTTCCCAAATCCATGAACCAAACACAGCCTTGGGGCTCAAGAAAAACCTGCAAAGCTGCCTATTGTGTTGAAATTTTGACCATGGGTTTTTTTGAAGGAGTATCTGGCCTCAATGAGGCAGTTCTTCTATATATTATCTCTTCTTCTTGTTCTTTGGTCTGTTCACGTCTTCTATATCCATTTTATGTCATTTTAAAGTTTGACATTGAATGGTTAACATATGCATTGATTCCCCCCCCTATTCTTTTCTAAATCCCTTCCCAAATCCATGAACCAAACACAGCCTTGGGGCTCAAGAAAAACCTGCAAAGCTGCCTATTGTGTTGAAATTTTGACCATGGGTTTTTTTGAAGGAGTATCTGGCCTCAATGAGGCAGTTCTTCTATATATTATCTCTTCTTCTTGTTCTTTGGTCTGTTCACGTCTTCTATATCCATTTTATGTCATTTTAAAGTTTGACATTGAATGGTTAACATATGCATTGATTCCCCCCCCTATTCTTTTCTAAATCCCTTCCCAAATCCATGAACCAAACACAGCCTTGGGGCTCAAGAAAAACCTGCAAAGCTGCCTATTGTGTTGAAATTTTGACCATGGGTTTTTTTGAAGGAGTATCTGGCCTCAATGAGGCAGTTCTTCTATATATTATCTCTTCTTCTTGTTCTTTGGTCTGTTCACGTCTTCTATATCCATTTTATGTCATTTTAAAGTTTGACATTGAATGGTTAACATATGCATTGATTCCCCCCCCTATTCTTTTCTAAATCCCTTCCCAAATCCATGAACCAAACACAGCCTTGGGGCTCTAGCACGATGAGAAATAAAAACTAGATGGATATTTTTTGCGTAATTTTTTCGTAGTTAGTCTCTAGCTTTGGTACATGGACTTTTATACTACTCCAATGTACTTGTGTCCATTGGATATGAGTATGGTAGGGGTGTGAGATTTGTGTCAATTCCTATACTCTAATTAAACACTTGGATTGTCGATTTTGTTTACAATGTTTGAAGAAGAAGAAGCTATCATTTGATAGTACAGAAAAAGTTATAGCCTGTCATGTGAATATAGAGATAAGAATTTTCCTTTTTTTCTCCTAAATCCCATTTAATTTGAAGTACAATCTAGATAATAGAATATTGTTGATAAAAAAAACCATTTATTTTAGAATATTATACAATATAGTATATATTTAAATGTTCAAGACATCTCCATGCACCCATACACAACTTTTGGATACATATCCATATAGCTTAAGAATTAGTGTTTACGAAGATACAATGCCTAGACAAACACCCTCACCCAATCCATGTAACATAGGTCTCTACGATAGGCTTTCTACATACAAGTGTATCAATTTGCAAGAGTAGTTATGGGAAATCCTGGGGAATTTGTGATTTTGACTTATCAAAGTGCACCTGTGAGTATACTTCACAAATAATTGCTAGGCGATGGTGTTAAAAAAATTTATTTGTGGTGTTTTAGTTTGCGTATTGGAAGCTAACCACTGAATAGTGTTATTTTGGAAGTTATTTGCTATTAGAATGTTGAAGCTTGTTTTTTCCACATTAGAGACAATTTGCTGGATGCTTAATTTCAGTTACTTGTGAACTTGTTCCAAGTTAGTTTGACGTTTTGTTTGGTATTCCAAGCTACTTGAGTTTGATTTGTGTTTGACTCTTTAAAAGCTTGTTCAAGATTGACTCGTTATGGAATCAAATCAAACCTGAACACATTTTGAAGTTTATTAATTTTCTAAGTTTGGTTTGATAAACTTATATGCACTTTAGAACTGTATAAAAAAACCAGGATACTCAAGTTTGACTTTGAAGATCTTTTCAAGTAATAGACTCAAAAGTAAACAAACCAAGATTGAACACATTTTTTATGCTCGTTAAATTTCAAACCAAGCTTGAGCAACCAACTACTAGGTTTGTTTGCATCCCTAGATGTGAGTTTTCTAATGAGATAAGGAACAATGGTATTAAAATAGGAGAAGCTTTTTTCATGGGAGATTGCAACTAAGGTTAGTGTAAAGGGTGCATTTTTGAATATTTTGTGTAGTCGGGTAATAGACAGGGTGAATGCATCTTTTGATTCTTTTTTTTGGTGATGTGGACCCCTATGTTACATGGACTCAGGTATGAGTGTTGGGTACGGGTGCACATTTAGGAGTCGGACCTATCAAATCTTAAATTCAAGGGTACATGGACTAGGCAAAAAAAAAAGGTCATACTTTCATATTTTTAATTTATTATGTAAGATAAAAGGTATTTTATAGCAATTATACAAATAATATATGCCTATAAGATGGTCTTAAATACAAAAATATATAAGATGTGTCTAATGGAAAGTATCAAGCACATATCCCACACCTTTGTCCAAGTGTTGACACGGGCATTTGATTTATTTTAAAGAGCCCATGAAAGATAGGTGGACTCTATTTTGATTTGAATGGGCCGGATCACCCAAGATACTTTCAGGTGTCTCGGTGATACAAACAAAGCGAAGATGAATTCCAATCAAATCTCCCATCACTTCAAGCCAAGCCCTACCAAAAGAGGAAATAGAATCGAAGAATCTACCTTAGTTTGTTGATTCCCCCAACAATGAAGCTGTAGTTCCTTCTATCAAGTGGCTGAGAGCTAGAGCAACTTGGCCTTTGATGTAGAGGTCGGTTGTAATTTTTGTATATTTTTAGGTGGTGCCCCTTCAGCATGTGTTGTGAATAGCATACTGTATGTGGTTGTACCAGCCAGTACTTACCGTACAGGAGGAAAACAGTAGAAAGAGTTATAGTAATGTACTGGCTAATTTTTCATACTGTACCGCATGTACTGGTTATGCCGGAAAATTTCGGACCGTACTGGCACATACTGAGACAATTATTTACTTCAGAATGTTTGTAAATATAATTTTGAAACAGTCCAAAACGAATCAGTACTGGTATATAACATACCAATGACATAAATTGTATGCTGTCCAGTACAGTATAACAACATTGCTCAACACCTTTTTTTTTCCCCCAACGTAAGTTGCTTTGCTTATAAAAAAATCATTATTCTCATTTCATTTCTTTTTTGTATCGTTGTTTTTTTGTTTTAATTGGCAAAGTAAAAATTTCATTAAAAACATAAAATTAAAGGTACAAGGATAATAATGCATTGAGAGAGATTCAGAGAGTGCAAACTCCCTACTATGGCAACTCGCATCCTTTAAAAAAAAAAAAACAATAGTTAAGTAGATCTTAACTACAATCTAAAATGCTTAAACCCCAAACCAAACAGTCCCCCCGCAACCCAAAGCTGCCACCCACGCCAATAAAAATAATTACAGCAACCAAGGATGTCTCTCACGCTTCCCAATCCCTCAGCTCCACCATGCGCATCCCAATCCGCCACACACCCTGCTTCACCCTGCTCCATCACATCTCAGAGCTTTTGCCTCTAGCCTTGCTGGTTCCCCTCCGCTGGAAACGCTGACTTCCTCTTTGCCAAACAATCCCAACCAACACCCAAAAACCCAAAAAACTCCGCTCATCCCATCCACCGTCCACCATTCACCCACCCAACCATCCCACTCCCACACAAAATCCCAACCAACACCCAAACTGAGACCACCTCTCAAACACCCATCTGCTGAACACCCAAAGAGCACCCATCCAACATCCGAACACCCAACCGGCCAACACCCGCCTCTGAAACCAATTCTCCCCTTCCTTCATTACTGCTCCATTATTGTTGAAACATCGCAAAGAAGCGCCCATTTTCGAGCACCAAACAGCGCCGAGTGGAGACTCAATGTGATTTGAGACCATTGGAAGTGATAGATTTGAAACCACTCATGGAACACCCAACACCGAAAACCCCAATGAAATGCCCAAGAACGAACGCCCAATAGCAAAACTAAAGATGGAAACACAACCTAAGCAGCCAAAAAAAAAAAAAAAAAAAAAAAAACCCACAACAACAACAACAACAACAACACTATGATGAGAAGAGGGTGGGAAAACTCTGGGGGTTCAAGTTTTTAAAGAGGAAAAAATGCAGACACACAGAGGAAGCGAGGCCAGCCGACCGCCATGGCCAAAGGGGGGGGCTGGCCGGTCAGCAGTGAGGCCTGGGGTGGAGGTTTTGTAGAGAGAGAGAGAGGTTTTTTTAGAGAGAGAGAGAAGGAATAAGATCCTTAACTGTACTTTTTCCACAATTCTGTATCATTGCTTTGATTACAAAGGTGTAACCTGATGGATTTTGGCTAGTGACAACCGAATAGTATTGTTAAAACTTGTCCATGATTGAGATGTTACTTCAATCTACTTGAGCTATAGTTGACCAAACTGGACTTGGTGTTCCTGTATTATAATTGTAATGATTTTTGATGCTTGTGTTTATAAACCAGGTTTATTGAAAAATTTGGCACCCATATTATTGTTGGTGTGAAAATGGGAGGGAAGGATGTAATATATGTGAAGCAACAGCATTCTTCGGCTCTTCAACCTGCTGATGTGCAGAAAAGGTTAAAGGCAATGGCAGATAAGAGATTTTTGGATTCAAATGGACAATATGGAATGGATTCTGAACAGGCTTATCAGAATGACAAGGTTTGTTTTTAATTTCTCTGTACGAGCCTCCTTAAAAGATTAAATTTTGGTATTAAATTGAAAAGCAATTTAGTTTGATAGGAGGAAGATCTCCATTCATTTAGCGTATGCAGTGAGGTGCAGCTCACAACAAAGGAATGAGAAAAGCTTGATTTTTGTTTCTTGACTAAAGTAATCACTCTAGTACACGACGAAGTCTTGTTGTGGATTTAATTCTGGCAGTGGATAAATTTGAGTTGCCTAAATTCTCACACATAAAATTAACCCAAAATGATCTGCCCCTAGAGAAGAAAGAGTGCGAGAGAGAACAAGATAGGAAGAAATTATTTTATCAGATAGATGCTACAGATGCAATTTATTTAGTTGTAGATCTGGTTTTGGGACTGTTGCACAACCCAGATTATTGTTCATGGTCTACTAAATTGCGTCTATTGTGGTTTGTCAAATATGTCAATACTTCTCTTAGCTTTTTTAATGTTTTCTTAATGGAGTTCCCGGTGCACAAAAGATGTTATAGAAGAGGGGATATGTTCTAGCATTTATCTGATTGGGCATGAGTTCAGTATACTGACCCAGTTTGGGAGGCTACACATGTAGCTTCTACATGCATTTATGTGCACAAGGTACAGAACTTTTTGAATATTCTTTCCAAGACACTGGCATGAATTTATAGCTGGGGGTGTGAATTTAAGCTTGTGATGTGATGTTAAGCTCGGTAATATGTGCCCAATTCACCTAAAACTTTGTTAATGGATTACTTGTAACTTGTAAGGTGCCAATTTTGAATCTTTATTTTGGAAAAAAAATGAGAAGACTTTTTGAAGAGCCTTTCGATATCAGTGTAATTGTTTTGTCATTGCAAATTGGTCTGGTATAGAGGAGTAAATTTATACTAAGGCCTTGTTTGTCATAACTTAAAAAAGTAAAAAATTCAAAAAGTCACTATCCTATTTAAGTCACATTATCTTATTTAAGTCACATCGCCTCTCTATCTTATCACTTCAAACCCAACCCATACCCAACTCATATTTCATAAAAAGTCAAAAAGTGCACTTATTTTTAAATCATCCCAAACCACCCCTAAATTGGTGTTGCATGAACTTGTGGAAAGCTGAAGAGATGAGGAATTGTGTACTAATCCACTCTTTCTCTCTCTTTTGGGGGGAGGGGACTTGTGTACTGTTGTATTTACTTTGCTTCTAGTCCAGTGAGTCATGGAAAATTAGTGGTTGAGGTTCTAGGTTCTTGTTAGAGGGTAGAGTGAGGACGAGTGTTATCTGTTTTGGAAAGTAGCCTCATTATATCTTTGTTGTTGCCTTCGGAAGAATTCCAGGCTTTTTTTAGAATGAAGCTAGGGTTGGCGAAATTGAAGCATTCATTGTTTTAGAATGAAGCTAGGATTATGGCCACGTTTTTCCTTTAGATAGATTCTTTTTTTATATTTATATTTTTATTTTTAGCATCAACAAAAATTTTATTAAAAAAGAAAAATGAAAGAGGACAAGAAGTCCTCATACAAAAAATCTAGGGATGGCAAATAGCAGCCCAAGCCCTAGAGATCAAGAACAAGGGAACTCCTTTAAAAGGAGGTGATACAAATGGCCAAAATGAAGCCAAGTATACCATCCTATCCCATAAAGCCTCTACACTTGATTCCTTGCCATCAAAGAGTCGTGCATTTCTTTCCAACCATATAGTCCTGAAAATTGCAAAACAAAGCTTGACCACAGTGTTTTGGCTCTTTTGGTGCCCCCAAACCCTTTGAACCTAACAAGAAGCATTTGAATGTAGTCCTGCGGAGCAAATCATCACATAAGCCGAAAAGACACTGTCATAATACAAAAGCCATTGGGCAATGAAGGAATAAATGATCCGCTACCACTACCGCTACCTCCGAATTCTTCTTGCACATCACACACTATTGAGGGCAAAGAGAGTGATTAGGCCTTCTTCTTTGAAAAACATCATTAGCTGTGACACCCCTTTGAGCTAAAGACCACATGAAGAACTTCACTTTATGAGGGACAAACGCTTTTCAAATTTTCTTATCAATAGGAAACAAAGGAATAGAGAGATTATCAATAAGCTTATCAAAAAAGGATTTATAGGAAAATATCCCCTGAAGAACTAAGATTCCAACCTCTAATGTCATGAGAGGAAGAAAGAGATACCCCATGAAGCAATACCAATAAAGATGCCAACTCAGTTGCCTCTCTATCATTTAAATTTCTAAGGAAATCAAAATTCCAAGAGATGGGTGCCATACAAGAGCATGCCACCAACACTATCGAAACATTTCTAGAACGAGCCAACTAATAAAGAAGAGGAAAAGCTCTATCAAACGAGATATTCCCTAACCACACATCCCCCCAAAACGGATTCTCACCCTATTCACCACTCTCAATGAAAGGAAATTAGACACTAGTGGATACAAGCTAGAAATGGACTTCTACGGACAATGACAATTGCCTCTATTAACCACGTTAGAATCTCTACTGTTGGGTTGAATTCCGTACTTACTCTTAACAGCTGAACACCATAGCGATTCACTTTCAACAGGAAATCTCCACAATTGCTTGCCCGAGAGAGCGATATTCCTAGAAATGCTATTTCTTATAGCCAGACCCCCTTTATCCCTAAGGAGTGAAACAACCTCTCACTTAACCAAATGAATCCTTGTACACTCTTCACACCCTTTTCAAAGAAAATCTCTCATAAATTTCTCAATTTTCCTCGCAATGTTAATTGGAATCTTGAATATGGACGAGAAATAAATAGGAACAGAGCCTAATACAGATTGTACCAAAGTATATCTCCCCTCCTTAGACAACAAAGCTTGCTTCCATCCCTCCAATCTTTTCACAATTTTGACAAGAACATGCTCCCAAAAGGACGCTACTCTAGGATCTCTCCCCAATGGAAACCCCAAGTATCTGAGAGAAAAGAATTCCATGGAAGCCCCACTTTAGATAGGTTCTTTTGTAGAGTTTTTAGAGATATTAAATAGTTGTGTAACTGTTTGTGTTTCTTCCTTTTTGTTTGCCCTCTTTGTATCCTTCGCATGGAGTGAGCTGTGTTTACATGGCACTCTCCAATGAACTTTAATCTGTAAAAAAAAGTTTCTCAACCTCATATGATGTTGGTTATGAATATTTAAAAATTAAAATGCCATTTCATTTTTATTGTTGTTTTCTCATATAACAAGGAATTGAATATCCTTTGTTGGTGGATTAATCCTTTCATTTGCTGCTCGGAGGCTTTTGTGGAAGCGGTTATCTTGTATAAGTACTTGACTTCAGATTGCGTATTTGTCATTATTTTAATTCTCACACTTGATTTAGTCTTAATGTGGAGAATCATTAATGATAATAATCTTGGTCATTGCAACTCTCTAAGGGTTGTGTGGAGTGGAGTCTCTGTTCTAGTCTTGAGCATGCTATACTGGACATTTCTTGAATTGATTTTGAGAGTTTGTTATGCTCAATTATATTGTCTTATATATATATATATATATTATTTATCTTACGGATACGTAATAAGCTTCTTGGTCACAACAGTTAATTGTTGTTGATAACAATTCTTAAGGACACTTCCTAATTTTATATCTATCTTGAAGGACTCGAAATTGGAGTTATTTGTTCGCTGATAGGTAAAAGCAATCTAGTAAACATGGCCAAAGGAACCCATTTACAATGTTTGTATACATGAAGGAATAATCATCCTATAATACTTTGAAACAAAAACATTCCATATATACTAGTATCGCTAAAAAACCTATAAGCTGATAATATAAGTTGGTTTTGAGAGTTTGTTATACTCTGAAGGGTTTCCATGTAATTTTAGCTATGAAGCATGGGTGCGGGTATGGGTACGCCGATACGGAAAATTCATAAAAAAGTAGGGTATGGGTATGGGTATGGGTATGGGTATGGGTATGGGTACGGCTGGGGTACGTCAAATTTTTTTTAATTTTTATTTTTTAAATTTATAACTAAACATCCAATATACAAATCAAAGTATCAATATCAAAACTAAAAAGAGAACAACTTGTATAATTCTTTATTTTTCTTTTTTGTTTGTCTAAAACAGGATGCAAAAGAAAGTAAAACCATGACTCATTGGTAAAGAGTGTTGAAAATAAATTACTTGATATTTTCAAAATTGAAAGAAGAATAATAAAGGTTGCAACAAATTCTAGCAGCTGTTAAAAAAAAAAAAAAAAAAAAAAAAATTTCACCTTGCCATGGTGCCGTACTCACGATGTACCTAAATGTATTTGCCGTACTCGACATGTATTCGGTGTACCCGCACCTGGTAAGTAGCCGGTACTCGTATGGCACCATTTTTGGAGTACTCGTGCTTCATAGAATTTTAGCTGGTTATCGAAGCTCCTTGTGTTGCTTTAATTTGATTTGTATAATTATTTGTGTTGCGGACTTTATTGAGCTGTTTGACGTGTACCATTTGCAATTTTTTGGACTTAATTTCTAGGGGTCTCATCAAATCATTTTATTTCAGTATGAAATCAGAGAGCAGCGCCTGAGGTTTGCGGATACTAGTCCATCGAGTTCTTACTCGCAAAAGGAGGTTTGCTCTTGCGAACACTGTTCTTCGTAGCTTATTTGGATTTCCCTACTCAAGGGATCAACATTTGATGTTACTTATAAGTTTGTGTTCTGTACATTATTCTCATTACAGGATATTGTGAGCATTTGCAAGAGGAGAGGTGGAAGTGATAATCGAAATCTAACACACAATGAGTGGTTACATACTGTACACTACGAACCTGACATGATCTCAATGTCTTTTATCCCGATTACCTCATTGTTGAATGGTGTCTCTGGGAGCGGGTTTTTGAGCCATGCCATAAATCTCTATTTACGCTGTGAGCAAACTCTGTTGTTCTCTGTCAATTTGTTGTGTATTGTTTTGCATAAATGCCTTGTGTAAGGTCTTAATATTAAGGTTTCATTGTGTCAAAGAGACCTATTCTCTTTACCATGGTAAGAATTTTTATGCGAGCTTCCCTAAAAACCTGTGAGGAAGCCCTTTGGCAGCACCTTGGCTACCAGGGTGACACAGGTTTTAACTTTTGACGGAGTTAATACACTTCAAAATAGTAAGGCCTATACAATTCTTACCAATCTTTTCATTTCATTTCTTACTGGTATAAATTATGTCTAAGCAATTGAGGTAGCCTATTATCTCTGACATTTTTCATGTTTTGTTTTCTGCTTGCAGATAAACCACCAATTGAAGAACTCCATCAGTTTTTGGAATTCCAGTTGCCGAGGCAATGGGCACCAGTGTTCAGTGAACTTCCACTTGGTCCGCAAAGGAGGCAACGAAGTACAGCATCTTTACAGTTTAGCTTCATGGGTCCCAAGCTTTATGTGAACACCACGCCGGTAAAGCTTCCTCTCTTTTTAGATTATTTCTCCCTTCATTTTGTGTCCTCAATTTGGAAAAGGTGTTCCATGCTTGCATTTTTTCTACTCAATGGTTAGATTGCATGTGCTGAAGGATTCATACAATGTTTGTGGAACAGCATCGCATGAACATTTATATTGGTCCATAAACTAATTATATAATTCTTGTTTATAATGCCTGAATGGAGATTGAGAAAGGGGGGGAAGGGGGGAGTGTGTCCTCTCTTTTTAGATTATTTTTCTCCCTTCATTTTGTGTCCTCAATCTGGAAAAGGTGTTCCATGCTTGCATTTTTTCTACTCAGTGGTTAGATTACATGTCCTGAAGGATTCATACAATGTTTGTGGAACAGCATGGCATGAACATTTATATTGGTCCCTAAACTGATTATATAATTCTTGTTTATAATGCCTGAATGGAGATTGAGAAAGGGGGGGAAGGGGGGAGTGTGTTAGCCAACTATTTATATAACCAAATGACTATTCCATGGAACCTAAGAATAAATTAATAAAACAAATGTGTCAATCATGCATACTGATTGTCAACACTTGAGTATAGAGAGGCAACTACCCACTAATGAAAAAAATAAAAATAAAAATAAAGAAAAAGAAAAAGAAAAAGAAATAAAAGGTGAACAGTGTGTGTTATTAATGTGTATGGTCTTTCTGGAGCAAACTTCACCATTGATGTTCATTACATAATTATGTATTTCTACCGTCAAGATGTGATTAGAATTTGATTTCTGTACCTATAGAAGAAATAGGGAACTTAGGTAAGTACTCAATTCATATGTTAATTGTTTGTTTCAGGTTGCTATCTGTGTGATAACTTCCTTGCTCTGGCAACCTAGTAAAAGTCTCATCGCATGATATTACACATTTTTCTAGTGCTGTAGCTTATAACTTCTGTAGAGTATGATATTTGTCTTATAGATTCTGTAACAAGTAGTATAATACACACGACACTCGTATGTGATTAGATCTGGAGACTGGTTAAGCATTCAGCCTGTGAATGCAAGAAAGTTGATCTGCTGAAGGCTAAGCATTCAGCCCTTCATTGTCGTACGTTTCTTGTCCTGTGTATGTGATTAGATCTATGGTCCAAGTACGACAGACAAAGGCCAACACGTCAACACATCCTCGTACTTTTCAAAAAATGCGGACACATTAAAATTTTATATTTTTACAAATTTATTGTGTCATGTATGAAAAATTTATTTAAAGAATACTATTTATCAAAAAATAAAATAAAATTGTAACATAATTCTAATTACATTAAAACTGTATATTTCATAACTTAAATATCAACATATCATTTGCTCAACTTTTATCAAATTTATGACAGGTGGATGTGGGTAAGAGGCCTGTGACTGGCCTCCGGCTGTATCTAGAAGGCAAAAGAAGCAATCGCTTAGCCATCCATTTGCAGCACCTCTCGACCCTACCAAAAATATTCAAACTTGCAGATGATCCAAATGGCAACTTCCGCCAGGAGTCCTACGATCGTAAATACTATGAGAAAGTTCAATGGAAGAACTTTTCCCACGTCTGCACTGCACCAGTTGAGTCTGATGAGGATCTTTCCATAGTAACCGGAGCTCAATTACAGGTTGGGGATTACGGCCTCAAAAAAATCCTTTTCTTGCGACTCCGCTTCTCAACCGTCTCGGGAGCCATGGTGGTAAAGCATCCAGAATGGGACGGTTCACCGGGCTTGGCCCGGAAGTCTGGACTCATATCAACGCTAATCAGTCATCGTTTCACCACAACATTTACGAAGCCGCCTCCACAGCCTGCTGACGTGAATATAAACTCTGCTGTTTACCCTGGTGGCCCTCCAGTTCCTACCCAAGCACCAAAACTCTTGAAGTTTGTTGACACAACGGAAATGGTGAGGGGCCCGCAAGAAACTCCCGGCTATTGGGTTGTTTCCGGGGCTAGGCTTGTCGTTGAGAAGGGAAGGATCTCACTCCGGGTTAAATACTCTTTGTTGACTGCAATATTACCCGATGAAGAAGCACCAGAGGAGCACTAACAAAGGAATTTTCATGCCTGCCATGAACCCGAAAGATTGAAGAGAGGGAGTTGAGTTGGGGAGAGGGAGCTAAATCAAATCAAAGAAGGCTTGTTTTGAAGCCCAAATCGCCTGTTGTGGTAAATATAGGACTGTACCGATGGTGATTGCGTAAAAGGTGGATGGTGGGTCGTATTATAATTTGATTTCTTGCTCCCCTTGTGTCTCTGGTGATGTAGTTTTGTTTTTTTGTTGGATTTTCTTCACATGTTTAGTCTTTTAGGTAGGGTATTTAACACCCTCTTGGTCTTTGTATTTTCTCCTCTTTTTTTTTTTTTACCTCTACGAATTCCCCCAGTAGGAGTTCAAGCTCAAGCTCGCCCCAATCTTAGTAAGCAGGAGAGGAGAAGATTAGGAAGAGAGGAAAGTATTACTAATTCATGATTTAAACACAACCTGAAGAGGCCAAGATGGATAATATAAAGAAGAGTTGGCAAATATTGAAGACTAACTGAACTAACTATATGTAGAATAATTTCTTCATTCTCTCCTAAATATTTGACACCAAGTTCATTTCACCTCATAATATTCTTACAAGTTCATGAAGTTCAATGTCAAGGGATGGACAATGCAAATCCATGAGAGCCTCACTACAAGACAAGTAAAATTTGCAGTGATTTTGCATTTGTACAGTTCACATTACTTATCCAATGCATTGCATATCTCATGGTATTCCCTCAGAAAGGACAAAAATGATGAACAATAATTATGATGATTACATATGCTTTTGTTTTCTTTTCACTTTTCTTTTGTTTGCATTTTTTTCAGTAAACCACTCAGTATCATGCTTGACATTCAATTCTCAGCAAAAATAGCTTAAACGTACAAGTAGAAAATCGAGTATGACATTGATGATAGCGCAATCCTTCTGTGAGAATACATACAATGCAGGAGTATCATAGGCTAAGGCAAAGTAATATTATGTTCATGGCAGGGCCAATAGACGCCTTCCCTCGGACAGGGGAGAGGGGCAGGTTGGGCTATGCAGGTAGGATAGTGTTGTCCTGGCATCAATACTGAAAAACTAGAAGAATATGATGTCGACACCTGTCACAAAGATCACCCAATTAATTAAGATCATATACAAATCAGACATAGAAATCAAAGATTGATTTCTTTTGAATTGAAAGATGTGCGAGGTGGGGACTTACTGCTTGTGGATTTCTAAGTTTTTCCATTGGTCTTGTTTCCAGGGATCCGCTAGTCCCATCTTGATGAGGAGAAGAGAAAGGATTACTTGGCCTAAACAAATGTTCGAAAATGGCCATTATAAGAAACATTGATATTAGTATTGCCGTGGCAACGAATCCAAAAGAAATGGCATTCATGGACGTCCCAAAGTTCTGCCACGGAGCTTCTCTATCGACTCCTGTTTGAGATGGGCTAGGGTCTGAACTTGTATAGATGTTCCATGTTTTTGACCTTTCGGAACCAAACTCATCCATAACTTTTATCTGCTTCAAATCTTTATAGAGCTCAAGACTAACCGAGGAGGATGATTAAATCAACAATAGGGGCAAATGGGCACTTTCACAAAAATGTCTCCGCAGATTTAGTTTCCACATAGTATCCCTGTGGGGAAAACAATAAGTGAAGCAATCAAGATTCCGCGACATTTAAATTACATGTCGAAAAATTCATCATAGCACAATGGAAGTGCCTTAAAATCAAGAAAGGAGAACAATGTGAAAGCATTCTAATTTCCGGTTCTCTATAAAAATTCCCAGTTCATCATTTGCAATCATATCAAGAAATGCTGATACAATCTAGATGGCCTGGTTTTTTGAATCCTTAAAATGATCCAACAAAGCTACTTGTGATGCTATAAAAAACAAGATAAATGTTTTAGGAAACAATGACATCAAGATTTGAAATGATCAAATTCCTCCTATACGAATGGACAATGCAAGAGTCTTCAAATGACTAGTTTTTCTGATCCATTTTGACATACTGAACCATAAACTTTCAATTCAAATCCAAATTATGTTTCTCAAGCTACATTTCCCATAATCTTCTTGGGTCACATCTTCTTTGACACAGATTTATATAAACCCCAAAGATCTAATGAGTTTGCAATAGAAAGTCTAAAACTTAAATTCATCGGTAAGCAACATGAAGCCGATCAAAATAAATAATGGGTAAGCAAATAGAAGGCACTTCAAATCCCACAAGGGGAAGAAATGAGAGCAGCTTAGTTTCCCCAAGTGGAAATATGTATAGTGGCCTTTTAAAAAGGAACATGCAATTGAAATCAGCCGAGTTTTTTTTGCATTGCATTTAGGATAGAGTCACCATAAAAGAAACAGGATGAAGCAATCATAACCACGACTGAAGCAAATCGAATCATTTTAATGTTTTGGAAAGAATCAAATGAAATGAGATTGAAACTAAATTCAGATGAATTCTTTTTGAGTTTGTCCCAATAGTGTAAAAATGACAAAAAAAGAAATAAAATAAAAATGGATTATTTTCCAAATGGTAGAGGCTAAAAATGATCAAATTGGTGACAACATTGTTCAATGAACTGATCTGCTAACTGGATTGTATTGATTCTTCAATGATTGATAAGTTTAAAATGCACCATAATGTTAGGATGGATGATTCATAATCCTCAATGTTTCGATAGCCGGAGCTAAAACGGTCTGCAAGGAAGAATGCAATTAACACAAGACAGTTGACAGTTAACCTCATAACGATGTTCAAAGACACACAATAAGTGCTCAATCTACTACTTGTATATGTTTTTCATATCAGAGCATTGGTTAATTATGAGAAAAGAAGTTACCAAACAAACCTGTTTCTTAAGAGCACTTCAAGACCTTTGGCTTTCACCCTGAGATGTTCTATAAGCTCTGTCTGTCTTGTAAGAACAAGACATCACATTACACAAAGCATAATGCAACCCAACCCTGCTAGCTTTATACCCAATACAAAATGTAAGGACAAAGTTATATGATAATCCCATACAACTTTTATTTTTTATTTGTTTATATATTTTTCGTAAAAAAATATTAAAGTTTTGATGTTCACAATCTTGATGCCTAACTTAATGAATACTATACCTTGTCTGGAGAAGCAAACTTAAAGAAATTATAAAGTATGGGCCTTCTTGTCTGCAGAGCCAAAAACAAGAGTGGCCTATTGGTGCTTTCAAAAGCATTCACTTCTAAAATACTACTAAGGTCCTATCCTACCCGTTAACCCACAACCCGTTTTGGCTCTTACCGTGGCTAAAAAGGCATATTACAATCAATAATGGTATATGTATTAGCTACAAAACTAATTTGCCCACAAGAATGTTCATTGATCATAATATCAGTGCTTATAAAAGCATTCACTTTTACAAAACTACTGGGGTCCTAGCCTACCCGTTAACTGACATGACCCATTTTGGCTCTTACCGGGCCTAAGAGAAGCATATGACAATCAATATTAGTCAATGTGTAAGCTGCAAAACTAATTTTCCCACAAGAATGTTAATTGATCATAAAAGAGGTAATACATAGGAATTAATGCAAACAGATTGAGGTCATTAGGGTTGGTAGGTTCATTGCTAGGAACCCATTTAGCATCAATGCCCTATTCAACAACTCCCAACAAAACCATTTGGATTCATCATTGGAAAGGTGGCAGTATGTGTCACATAAACTCCCACTACCTGGAAAAGAAAAATAAAAGAAAAGAAAAGAAAAGAAAGCTGCCATATAACTATAAAAAAAACCAAAGGCTGCTACAAGTGAGTAATCTATATATAGGCATTATATTTCTATATTGATACAAAATTGATTAGGTGTATGATCAACTGCATACAAAATACAAAAGAACTAAAGAGAAAATCAGAACAAAAAAGAGAGAGAATCAATGTTGGATATCTTACAGCTATGCATTACCAGAAGAGCCATGATTCGAGCGAAGAAAGAAATGGGTCTCTAGCCAAGAAAAAAGCAAAGAAAAAAGAGAGAGGAAGAGATAGAAAAAGGAGGTGATTTAGACCACAACCACACTTATTCCTCAAATTTGCCTTGAAAAGGTCTGTTGAGAGGTACCCACACCTTTTTTTTTTTTTAAAAAACTTTTTTTTCTTCTCAGAAATATTAAATCAAATAGTTGGATTACTTGCCAAAATTCAATGTCTTAACATAAAAAACATACCATTCTAGCTGAGGCTAACCACAGAGCCAAGAAGCTTTGAAAATTCTAGAGCAGAAATAAAAGCAATAATTGATATTTATTTCATAATCAAAGATCATGAGAGAGAGAGAGAGATAGAGAGAGAGAGAAGGGAAGCTTTTTCTTTCCCTCCAATGCTTTGAGGATTTTTGTCAACAAAACAATCACCATGTCTGAGAAAGATGTGAAAGCCTATCTAAACCTATTCCAAACAAATCATTTCATCTCATAAAGACCCCATATGCATATTATGCAAATATAAGAAATTCAACAAAAAAAAGAAAAGAAAAGAAAAGAAAAGAAAAGAGACAAATACCCAACAAACAAAGTTTTTGATACATAAAGCATTAGCCAATACATCAAAGTTTTAAACTATTTTCTACCCAAAACAGTAAAAAAAAAGAGAAAAAAATTTGAAAACCATGGGATTCAATCTTCAACCTTCATGGTTTCTTATTGGTCTCACCTTTTGCTTTTTTTCTGCTTTGTGTTGTTTGTTTTTTGTTAAATTTTTTGAATAAAATTTTTATATTCTTGAATAAAGTCACTAAAATACATACAACCATTTGATTGCTTCATGCAATTGGTGTCACCTCAAGAAAAGATTATAAATATTTTGTCTCTAAATAAGACATTTTCTTAAAGAAAAGGGCCCCATGACAAAGTAAGGACACTAAAGCCAGTGTTGAAAAAAATATGTTTAATCATATTTTCTTTTCCTTTCCTTTCTTTACCTTGATGAGCACAATTCTCTCCCAACTGAAGCAACCTTTCACTTTCCCAACATTTTAGCCAAGAAATTTAACCCACACTAATCAAGTGCAAACTGACCAGCAATTCATTCTTGCACCGCAAGATTTCAGAGTAACATGTTGAATTTAGTGTAATGTGTGACAAAAATTGGAAGAAGCCAAGAGCAACTTTAGTTGTGCTATTTATCATACTATTGCTAAAATTTAGCATGATCAACACAAAAAACACACTCCAGCAATCTGCGCCGGCCTTGACTCGTTTGAGGTCCTAAGCGAATTTTCAAGATGGGGACCTCTATATATAATTATAAGAAATAAAAAAAAAAACTCTATAAGTTAGACATAATTACACTGATCTCTAGTTACTAAAGTTAAATCAAACTGAACTAATGCAAATAATATCTAAACGCCAAAATAATGAAAGACATTTATATCGCTAATGAATAACTGATGGAAATGAGATTTTGTGTTATGTAAATAAAAATATTATGAGAGTACAGTGTGATTATATCAAATTGTGCGACTTCGTGTATTGTTTTCTAAGCCTTAGGGAGGTTTGTGTAATTTATCCATTTTTTATGAAATTATATACTAAAATCTAATTTAAAATAAAATAAAAAACCAAATAAAATGTAGCACTTTGTACTTGCTGTTATAATGAAATTATATTTGACACTTGGATTATCTCAATTGAGAATATTTGAGCCTTAGTTGAGGTGTTATCATAGTGGTTGGGTGAGATTGAATCAAAAACTCTAAATTCGAATAGTTGTTATTGAGTAGTCTTTAGTCTTTTATCATTTTCTCTTTCCACACTGTGAATCTTGATGTGAGGCTAAAACCATTGGAAAGTTTACTTCCGAGGCTTCAATTTGGACACAAAGACGACCCTAAACGGAGTCTAGACGAGAGATTTATACCTGTTTGAAATTTGCCGAATCTGTGCTGTGAGCATAGTGCCCTCAAGCGCAACTTTAAATGCTCGAGCGTACTACATAGAATCAGGTCTTTAAAAGTCACTTTTTAGGTCAAATCTCTTCATTTTTCACTCATATTTCTCTCTCCTTCTGCCATTTTTGGTTTTTCAAGCTTTTAGGCTTGATTTCATCTATTTTTCTACATCTTTGATACCTAGTTCCATATACTAAAACGTAGAGCACAACGAGAACTTCCATTTAATCTCAACAGATTGTCATTTCATCGCCGATGATTTTTCCGACTTGTTTTCTTCTTGCTTCAAGAGGTAAGATCTATTTCTTAAAATCAATATGAGTTCGGTAGTGTATTTGTGGTGTATTTTAAATATATAAATTCCATTGTTCTTGGATTGATTTTTTGAAAATTTGTTTTGTAAGTGAGGGTTTGTTCCAAATGGGATTGTTGAGTTATGGTTTAGCTACAAAAGTTTATTTTCCACTTATGAAAAATGCATATGAGTTTTTAAAAGTAAAAAGCCCTAATTTGGAGAAATCCTAAAATGTTGATCTTTTAGAGAAATTGTTGGATTATTAAATCAAAATATAAAGGAGGGGTTTTCAAATGTTTTCTTGACAAAGGTTGTGATTATGAAATTGAAGTTGATATATGTTGAAATGAGCTATTACTTGCATTGAAATGGATTTTCAAAGAGGAAATGGATTTTCAAAATGTTGAGATTGTAAAGAGGAAATAGAATGAATGTTGAGAAATGTGAATTTGAAATGATAATTAATGATGACAGTGGAGTTGAATATATATTTTCACTCCCATTTGAGATTTTGAAAAAGTGTATCTTTAATGGAATTTATTTATCTGTTTAGAGATATTTGCTTTGGGCTATCAGTGGAGGATATTTATGATTGTTGTAGAAATTGCATGTGGACTAGGCAAACCAGACTGTGTATAAATCATGCATATCATCAAGCATGCAATGGATTTTGAGAATTTAAACTATATGTTTTGGAAATAGATTTTGGAAATTCTTGTGTTATGTTTTAAGAGCATTTGTTTCATTTTGAAAATCATATTTTGGATCACATGAATTGTGCTATTTGGAAAGGGTAAATAAAATGGTAAATTTGAGAAATGGTTGCCATTGGATATGACTGTGTGTTTTAATATATTGTATATGTACAAAGTTTGGAGGGAGAAAGTGGATGTACTCCATTGTTGGGAGGAGAAAGGGATGGACTCCATTAAATTAAGTTGGCCTGTGTGTCCAGGCTGAAAGTCTCGGACACCGCACGTATACATGGGTGCGGAACCCACAGACGAAATTTTCATAAAATGGCAATGGTAGTGCTTGTATAGCCTATGTTTACATGGGTCCCATTTGACGATTTCCCGTGGACGAAATTTCCGTGAAAGGTTGTATTGGTTTTGGAGATTTACCCATTTCATTTATTATCATTTTTGTTTTGGAAAGAAATGATTTTAAATGGTTTTAGCAATGTGTTTGTTGTTGGTTAACGTTGTATGAGTATTGGAATTGGAATTGGAATTGCTAGTTGGTATTGAGATTTCTGGATTGACTTGTGGAAATAGATTTTTATATCAAATTAATGTATTGAATTCAGAAAATGTTTTGAATAAATGAAAAGTTTGGAAGACTAAAAAGAAAGGTTTTTTTTTATTGAGATACAAAGTGGAGTTGAGAATGCATTGTGCATAGTATATATGTATGTTTTGCATTCATGATCATTTACACTGGTGGAGCATATTTAGTTTTTGAAATATTTCCTACTGGGCTTTATGCTCACCCTACGTGGCTGAAATACACTACAACACATAGAGATACACCACCATCTTTGGGTTGAGGTTCTTGAGAGGACTTCTTGAGCTCTGAAAGTGAGGTTTTACCCCCTCAAGTTGCTGGTTTCGAAGTTGATCTTCAAGGGTGAGTTTCTTTCCCTTTGTAGCACTTTTTTTGTACCTCATCTTGGCCATCCTTGCATATTATTTTAGGCCTTGCTTTCAACTAAAAAAAGTTTTGTTTTTAAGTGCTTTTGGTGGTTGTTTAAGGTCCTTTTGCTGTTGAGGGTCTTCAACCCTCTTGTTGGCCTTGTTTGGGCCATGCCTTAAGGCCTCCGAGCTAGCCTTGGTTTGGCATTCAAACCACAGAAATCCAGTGGATTTTCAGTGGTAGGCATGTGGTTTTGAGGCCTCAAATCAGAGGGGGTGGTCCCCCTCTCTTTTGGTTTTTGTTCGCTTGCATTTTTGGCCTTCCAAAAGAGCATGCCTCTATGTATTTTTAAGGCTTGGTTCAGGCCCTTTTTTGTGACTTTTAGGACCTTCCTTGGCTCTGTCCATAGCTGGTTTGGTCACCTTTTGCATGCATCTTGTATGTGTAGTGTAATCCCATTTGTAGCTCATCAAAGTAGCATGTTTGCCTAGCTTATGTTGAGTCCATTTCAGTAGGTTTTTGGTGGTTTTTTACCATGCCTTAGATTTTTTTTGGGTTGGTTTTGTCACTCAATGCATGTGCAATACACTTGTAGTGTAAATCTCATAAACTAGCTTTCTATGCTTCTTGCTTTAGCTTGTCATCCTAGCTTACGTTCAGTCCATTTTAGCATGTATTTGGTCATCATTTGTCATGTCATGACTCTATCTTTTGCTGGTTTGGTCGTATTTTGCATGCTCCGTATACTTGTAGAACAAATCTTGCTTACTAACTTTATCTGCATGATGCTTTGACTCATCATTCTAGCATATTTTAGCTTTGCTCCAGCATGATTTTGTTCTTATTTTGAGGTGTTCTTAGACTGTTTTAGTCTGCCATGGCCATATCACTCATGCTTTGTATAGCTTTAGTATAAATGCTTGGGTTAGTCTTGGGTTTTGAGGCCCCTACCATGCCATACATGTGATGTTTGCATGCTTTGCTATCATTTTACATGTTATTTCAGTTCATGAAATGTGGCCATACACTTGCATTTGACATGCTTTTAATGCCTTGGAGCCTTGGCTA